CATGTAACCGACCGATTTTCATATAGCCGGACCGATTTTCATATTAGCCGACCGATTTTCATGTAGCCGACCGATTTTCATATAGCCGAACTGATTTTCATGTAGCCGACCGATTTTCACGTAACCGACCGATTTTCATGTAACCGACCGATTTTCATATAGCCGGCAGATTTTCATGTAGCCGACCGATTTTCATGTAGCCGACCGATTTTCATGTAGCCGACCGATTTTCATGTAACGGAGCAATTTTCAAGTGGCCGACCGACTTTTTTCAAGTAGCAGAACGATTTTCAAATAGCTGACGGATTTTCATGTAGCGGACTAATTGTATATATGGGCCACCGTACATTAGCATAGCCACACCTCCAATTCACACTTGCCCAGGGCAAGTGAATTGGGCTTTTAAGACTTGCACTAACGTTCACAGGAATGATCTAGTTCGTTTGTTGTAGACATGTGGGTTGACTAATGTGTGCAAAGACTTTGTAGTAACCTCTGAAATGAATTAGAAAGACTGGGACATTTCTGTTCACATTTGTTCACATAAATTAATTATATGTAAACATTGCCATTGTAGTCTTCTGTGCAAGGGTAGAGTTTTTTCTGTCTCGTTGCATGGGTCGGATAGATATTTTGCTTTCGTGCATTCAAAGCAAAGATGGCAGTTTTCTGCACAATTTCCTTGTATCGCTGTTGTACATAATGTACAGTATGGTCAGAGTGTAAATTTAGCTGGCTAGCTTAAAGCTATCTTAACTTAGCTTTCAAAACTGCCACCTAATTAAACTATGCAGATTTAACTGCCTAAATAAGTCTATGTTACTAAAATTTGGGCAATACTACAAAAAATATTGATGACAATGATACTCGCTATAATAATTAGAAGTTCTTGTGAAAAAGCAAATAAAGCTTACCGTAATCTTTTTTAGTGAAACGCCAATACAGTAATAAAGAATGATATACCTGCATTTTTACATGGTGATGTGGTTGTGATAAATGGATGGATAGTTGTGACGCACAAAATTTTTAACAAAATTACACATAAAAATATTTTTTTTCATAAAAAGTAGCCTTGACACTGACGCCATACATATTTGTGATCTACCCCAAAAATGCAGAAAATTAGTAGTTTTTGTGCATATTTAATATCATATCATTTCAATGTTATTGTCTAAGTAATGAACAATTTCGTAAAAACAATTTTTATGATTGTAAACTGTAAAAACATGTTTTATATTGTCAAAAGGAACTTTTTTACATTTCCTGTAAAAATGTAAACCCTGTTTATTTTTTTCTGTAACTTGTACAAGCTACCTCCTTTCTATTTTCACTCTGCCTTATCCACCTGATTTCAGAATATACGTTTACATGTAGCTGTAGGCAAGATTACTCCAGCCACTCCCCGGTTTGGAAACGGTGATTTTATTAGGTGTGAATTGGTCTCCTTCCCTGGGTAAGGCGCGTTGCAGTTATGGGCAAAGCATTGTCACATGATTAGTACACAGCCAGTCATTATTTTTGACATCGTCAGTGCTATGTGTTTTTTTACAACTTGGTGGTTTATTCCAGAATTTGAGCTTTTTCACATAATTTTTTAATCAGGATATCTGTATATGGTCATATTTTAGCCGGCAAGTAGTTTTTTAATTCATCTATTTTACCAACAGCGACACAATTTCGCAAGAAATTTTCATACCTTTACCCAGAAATTTTCGTGTTTGATTTTTGGAGGGATTGAAATGCATGTTGTTACGCGCAGTGTTTTTACTTACTACCAGGTAAAACTGCAAGATGAACATAATTCCCGATATTAATCTTTACATGGCAGGAACTGGATGTTTATGAATAGGTAGGCTGGTTTTGATGTGTATCAGGGTTCAAAAACCCCAAATTTCAAAGTGCTAATTTTGTTTACGTGGTAGTTGCCCGAATTTGAGGTCAAAGTGAAGTCATACAATGAGGTATCGCTTTACATGATGGTAAATTTACCGATTTTAATGAACATTCTGACGGTATTGTAATTTGTCTGACTTTCTGACTCCTTCGGCCCGGGTGTGAGCAGTTTGTTAACCTGCAACACGGTTCAAGACAAAAAAAACGCAAGACGTTTCCAGACCAGGGATAAAGGGACTGTGCTCCAGCACATAGTATTATATTAGTTGCGTTCACGCACAGCTCCTTAGCACGGGCTAAGAGGTCAAATTGCTTAGCCCGTGCTAAGAAAACGTGCGTGAACGCTTAGCACGGGCTAAGGAATGCTAAGTACGGGTTAAATCTGATCCAAATTTAAGATGCGGTCTAGACCCTTAGCACGGGCTAACGAAGTATGCGCGAGCGCTTAGCCCTGCACTCTGCGGCGACCTTTGGGAGTGAAAATTGTCCAATGTTCGTATAACGACTCCATTCCACCAGTCATTACTCCACGCTCACTTTCACAATGATCGGGTCGCTGTAGTGGAGCGTACAGCAGCTCCAATTGAAGACAATAAATTTGGTTCGTTGTCTACGACATGCATTAATAAAACTCTGTATTCTGTTACGCCCGTTGTGTACTGTTTCTGTGCATCCAAATAAGTTGGGTCCGTCTTCTCTCGCGTTCCTGTGCACGTCGCTTCAAAATTAGAACGAAACATGCCAGCAGCAGAAATAGAACCTCGCGCGTGTCATCCATTTTTCGTTCGTAAATAGCGGCTTGCCAAAGGTCACTAACTGGTGGCACCCCTTAGCCCGTACTAACGACTGGCCCTCCCTGTGCGTGGACGCAATTGGGTCTAGCCGAAATGCAAATATGCTAGATAAGCCTAAATCAGCTTAAATCTTAGCCCGTACTTCGTGTAATGTGAACACAACTATTGTGATAAATTTCTTTTCTGCAGTACTTGCTGATAACAGCAATGAAATAAATAAATAAACAAAAATTACATAGCATCATTACACAAACACCTCTAACAGTGCACGTCAATAATGATTACCTGTATTGTTCTGTCCTATGGATTAATTAGTGGTTTTTGACTGACACACTGCCGTCAGATGACCCTCATCGTACGAACTTAAAACGCCCTTATTATAAGGTAAACAAACGCACATGATTTCAGCATTGTTACCTATGACTAGGATTACATACACACAATTCGAAATATACGGTAAGTTGACCCGAGTTCATTGACATCCATTGAGCTTACAGTCGACCATCGCCATTGCCGTTTGTTTGTTGTGTGTTTTTTTTTGTTTCATGGGTTAACAATATGAATAATACTCAGAACGTTAGAAACATACGCAAAAGTATGAAAGCATGGTGTTAGTCAGGAAGGTTAAATGATTTCCCTTACCTCTCGTTATCCAAAGGCAATGTTAAATTATGTGTATCATCCAGAAAACGACGGCAGACAACAAACGTTCACACTACCCCTCGCACTCAGTTCATAAAGCATTCACTGCCGTCGGTCTCTCTAAGGGAGTGTTGGAAACACAATGACGCCCTAAGTTACCAATTTTATTCGTTAAGCACCTACAAGTAATCGCATGTGGGCGCCACCAATACTAATATACAAAATGTACTCTCTTTCATATTCCAAAAAACGGTGTGTTAAATTGCAATCTTCCAAAGTCTATAGCAGACACGTAACTTATAGAAATAAGAAAGGTGGTATATTAAGAATTGTTTTTGTTGCAGCAGCAAATATGGGTATTTATTTTGCTGAATGACTACAATACGGCCAGCTAGCATTAAAATAGATGATTCTCTACCTGGCTTTTACAGTACGGTTTTATTTTATGCTCTTGTTCACAAATCCTGATTAAAAATACCAGTATAAGTATGGGTCCCGTTTGTGTTTTTATTGATATGACATATTTCATACTAAGTTATAATGAACATAAATATAATTATTCATAAATAATATGACAGAACTCCACACCCTCCCCATGGCTTTCGTTACGTATGGAAGTTATTTTCACGAGTGATGCGGTGTATCATGCGGCCGTACTTTCACGGGCGAAGCATCTCGAGTATGCGGTTCTGTTATTAATACATATGTTCCATATTTTATTATTTCAGAACGTGCAACAAACCGTGATGGAATTTAGGTCGGGGAACCCAATTGCCCATTAATATGTTCCAAGATTGTGTTACGCCCTAGCAACGCGTGTCAGTGTAAGAACGCGTGTCACTGTCTGTGTGAAAATGAAATAATGAGACGTCTAAGGTGAATCACTGTCCGAATAAATACCCTCGTGGACGTTTAGTTGGGCCACGACAGAACCAGAACTTGAACAGTGGCGACTGTGATACACAAATTAGTCGTCACTGAACTGCACGCTACAACTTCGTTTGTGGTGTTGCTTGCTGGTCATAGATTGAATAGATCTTGGTTACCGGTTACAATTTTGCCCGTTTGGCGTTGGTAATCTTTATTTGGAACTGAGTAACGCCGCAACATCGCCAGCAGAAACCTTGGGGAGCAATACATAGAACTGATGGGGACGTGCCCCTGAAATGGGTCTCATTTTTTGGATTTTAGGTATAAGTGTCAGTCTTATTTCTGGTCAAGATAAGTATAAATATCAATAACAAGCCGGTAGGCTAGTTGGCGATCCGCTCCGCTCAAAAACAAGCAATATGTTTTTGGCTGTTTCCATGGTGTGACATAAACGTGAAGCTAACGTCGGTTTATAACTAAATGGGCCCGTATACGAAGTTCGCAAACACCATTCAGTCTTTAGAAGTCACGTAGTTTATTACTAGGACGTATTCTGCTGCTACATTTATTATTTCCAACCGTTTTGCGATATTATTTTCTAGAATGAAGGCAGCATTTACAGTGCATTCAAAGTTCAAAGTTGCGTTGGGATTACGTTAATACAGTGTAACAATGTCGGTGCAAGTGATCTCCTACTACCAGAGCGCAAAGTAGCCAAAATAAAAAGCATGGTCATTTGAACACTGCTATTACAAAACTGGTAGGAGGTAATACATTTGGAGCGAAAGTATTCAAAAATCAGTTTTTGGATGTTGCAATAGCAGTGGTGGGCCAGGATTTTTTTCCGATTAGTGACGGTAGGACCTACCTGTGTAGTATGAACAAAATCAGCGGAGCCGAAAAAATCACAGAGGAGTTAAAAGCCGTTGCTGGTCAAAAATGTTAACTCGACTTTGGGGGCAAATTTCTCGGTAATGAAAAAAGATATCAAAAATTAAAATAGTAACTTTGTGCCCACACTCAAGCTGAGTAGAATGAGCTATGTCTGAAGTGTTTTATCCTAAATTTGTAGGAGAAGATACATTTGACGCGAAGCTATCCAAAAATCAGTTATTTTGGCTGTTGCTATAGCAACGATGGGCCAAAATTTGTTTTCAGATTTTTCCTAATAACTAGGGTGAAGGTGTGACCTATCTGCCAAGTTTGAAAGAAATCGGCCAAGCCAAAAAAATCACAGAAGAAATCATACGTGAAAACACTGGAAATCACACACACACAAAACGACAAAAGTCAGGCCCGTAGCCAGCACATTTGAATAGTGGGTTCGAAAACAACAATAATATATTTGATGTGAAACGTATGAATTTTATAATATTCAAAAAGTGTCTTTGAGCTCTGATACAGATATTTTTATATTCTCGGTTTTAAATTCAATTGGTTTACTTTGTGTTACGTTGGTAAGTTGTTTTTTTTTTAACTATTTTACCATTTTAGAGAAGGGGTCCTGAGTCATTCCCCGCCCACAGACAAACACACTCACACCTTTGATCGGATCCACTACGACACAATGTTGTACACAAAAAAGCCAAGACTGTACGTATCTTAGCATTATTGTCTAAGCATTTTAAGGTAGAATGCTACGAGTTTTTTCGCTCTTCGCAGATGTTAGCGCACATAAAAGTGGCACGATTTCATGTCAAAATCTGTCTACAATTGTTCATTTTAGTATTAGTACATTTTGTATTATGTAATTTTATTACATCGTACAAAATATAATGGGTAGAAAAGTGCATAACACGTTTTAAAAACAATACAACATCTATGTAAACATATGGTACTAAGTTAAGCTGGATTCATATTCATTTCGCTTGAAAACTTGTAAAAGATACAGAGCTAGTTGATATATGGTGTGGCATTTTGTGTAGCGACGAAGTAAGCCCAGACTGTCAGTATTTGCATAATTGCACAGGGTTATTAACAAAAGATCAGCCCTTAGATCATTATAAAATGGACATATAAAAACAAAGTGAATTTCATTTTCTACCATGCTAAATTCAAACGTATCACTGCAAAAACTAAAAATGTATTGATCTAACTGTATTGTTGTGTGTCTGCCTAATTCAACATTATGTTTATGGCCAAAACAGCGAAAACTCGTTAGCATATATTTTAGTCTATAATTGCTTGCCAATAAATCTCCCAGGTTATAATACTACTTTGATTTTTCCGAAAGTACACAACCTGGATGGTTGTGAAATTGGGGCATTCCATTCTTGCTGACGACAATTTTTTATTCTTCGAGTAAATATCCCTAAGAAATTTGCAGTATCTCCAACTTGTTTTTTAAACCAGACAATGCTGAAACAATATTTGAACAGGAGATTTTTATGTGGGTTTCTCAAGTAAGTCTGCCGTTCTTGTCTAATCGTTTAAGCATGATATAACATGTTTTGGGGTTCCAGCTACTTTTTACTTCAAATAATTCTAACCAATATGAGATACAACGCTAGAAATAACCACAGCATAATGGCAGCCTTCCACATTCGTCCAACATCGTTACATTGTTTGTACAAGTATTAATGCTAAGTAGATATCTGCAAAATGTTGTCTGTACCCTCTCGATTTCCGAATTTTCGTACCCCCATATAGATACCATAAGAAATAGCTGGCACAATGATCGCATCAAACAAATTAAATGCACTAACCAATGGCATACCACCAAGTTTCTTACAGTATGTAAATTTGTTGGTTCACTATAAATCTGTTTTTAGAGGTAAATATATGCATATAGTGTCAGTTTAGCAGCGGTCTCAATAGACTTCAATGACTACATCTCTTTTTTATGAACTCACTAAAAATATAGTACATTTTCTAAGACATCAAAAAAACGTGTAAAAAAATATGCTTGAAAAATATAATTCATAAATCAATCCGTAGCTGTACACTATTGTCAAATAACACAAGCTACACGCACTAATACAATAAGTTAACTACATTTGGCTGATACATTTCGAACAAAACAGTAGATATGCCATCATTAACTTGAAGAATACTAATGAACCAAACTAGGAAAGTACAGTTTCGTGTTGTCGTGTCAACCCCGTTCGATCCCCCACAATGACACTTTACTAACTGAGCGAACACCCGCACAAGACAAACAACCCTATTCAGGACCACCACATCCTTCAGAGAATGACGACCATTACATTATTGTTTCAATGTTGTTTTAATATTTAACATCAGCTGCTAATTTTTTTGATTGGCTGCTGTTGAGCTGAGGCGTCGTAACTCACTGAGTCAAGTGATTTAAACTATGATACTTATTTTAATTAATCCTGTTTTATCATAAATCTGTTCACTTCCAAATTTTAGGGGGTTCGACAGAACCCCCCCCCCCAAAAAAAAAACGACATAAACTAGTACTGTTTTATTTTGAATAAACAGTGATGAGAGAAAGGGTACTTTGGTATAAAAATATGTATAGATTTTGTCACTATCCAGGTATAAAAATGGTCACACTTTTGAGCACTCAGGGGCACCTCACCCCCGGGGGGTTTACTTGGCTGCTGATATGGTATAGGTGTGTAGCCCACACTGCAAAACCCAGAGCCCATTTTAGACCAAAAATGTATACCCCATCTTAGACCAAAATGTTGTCTGGTACACCCCATTTTAGACCCGCCATTTGTCCAGCAGACCCCATTTGGTCTTGGCATATTAAAAGTAGACCGAATACATACACTTTGTTTTGAAAAAATAAACCTCTTTTTATACCCATGTCCATTTGACAATCAGACATTATAGACCCCATCTTAGACCAAATCCTTAAATTTTGTGGATCCCATTTAATACCAGGTGGCTGAAAAAAACACACCCCAAAGGGCGGCACATCCGCGTAAGGTAAATTGCAGGGAGTAGCCCTCCCCCGGGCACCTCCCTACCCAGCTAAATGAAGCATACAGATTGGCAATCAATATGGATAACTCAGACAGCCAAAATTGGGTCAATTGTATTAAAACAATTCTCAAAGACTTTAATATGGAACATGAGTGGGAAAATGTAAAGATTAATGAGAACAAATACCTAATAAATAATGTTACTACAACACTTGAAACAAACTTCAAAATAAACAGTAGGGATTCTATAAACAATGACAAAAAAGGTATTAACCACATAAATAAACTACGTACTTATAGAAAATTAAAAACTGAATTTGGACTTGAAAATTGTCTGCTG